GGTTGGTTGAATCTATGAATGAGGATAAGGAGGGCTGACTATAAATTATATTGGGTTGGCCAAAAAGTTAATTTGGTTTTTTCCATAAGATAGCTCCAGTAACACTTAGTTGTCTTTAACTTCATTCGAAACAATTTTGTTAGACTGTATTGTGACAGCTGTCACATCAGCGTGCATTTTAAAAAAAACATCAAAATTGATGAATTTTTGAGTAGCCATTTTAACATTGAAGATGAAAGAAAAAAGCCACATCTTCAGCTTTATTTCAAGAAAGATAAAAACCCAACCAAAATGCAAACAAAGATTTGTACAGTGTATGGAGAAGGTGCTGTGAACGATGGAACGTGTCAAAAGTGGTTTGTGATGTTTCATGCTGATTTCTTGCTGGACAATGCTCTAGGGTCTGGTAGCCCAGTTGAAGTTGATAGCGATCAAATCGAGACATTAATTGAGAACAGTCAACATTATACCACACGGGAGATAGCCGACATACTCGAAATATCCAAATCAGGCGTTGAAAATCATTTGCACCAGCTTGGTTATGTGAATCGCTTTGATGTTTGTGTTCCACATAAGTTAAGCGAAAAAAGCCTTGACAGTATTTCCACGTGAGCTTCTCTACTTAAATGTAATGAAAACATTCTGTTTTTAAAACAAATTGTGATGGGCGATGAAAAGTGGATACTGTACAATAATGTGGAACAGAAGAGATCGTGGGGCATGTGAAATGAACCACCACCAACCACACCAAAGGCTGGTCTTCATCCAAAGAAGGTGATGTTGTGTATATGGTGGGATTGGAAGGGAGTCCTCTATTATGAATTTTTTCCAGGAAACCAAACGATTCCAACAAGTACTGCTCCCAATTTAGACCAACTGAAAGCAGCGCTCAAAGAAAAGCATCTGGAATTAGTCAATGGAAAATATATAATTTTCCATCAGGATAATGCAAGACTGTGTGTTTCTTTGATGATCAGGCAAAACTGTTAACAGCTTGGCTTGGAAGTTCTGATTCATCCTCCGTATTCACCAGACATTGCACCTTCAGATTTCCATTTGTTTTGGTCTTTACAAAATTCTCTTCATGGAGCAATTTTCAATTCCCTGGCAGACTGTAAAAGGCACATGGAACAGTTCTTTGCTCAAAAAGATAAAAAGTTTGGGGAAGATGGAATTATGAAGCTGCCTGAAAAATGGCAGACGGTAGGGGAACAAAATGGTGAATACGTTGCTCAATAAAGTTCTTGGCGAAAATGAAAAACGTATCCTTTTTCTACTTTAAAAACCGAAGGAAACTTTTGGCCAACCCAATACATGATTTTTGACTGTGCAGGGGATTGGTACCCCAATCCACCCGTGTTGTTCAAAGGTCAACTGTATAGTCAAACTTCTGAAAATTTAAGACAAATCTTGAAAGCAGAAAGGGAGAAACAACACCATAGCTACAAGGAAAAATCAATGCAAGTGCCGGTGGACTTCTCCCCAGAAAAGAAGGAGGACAGAGGAAGTGGCATGACATTATTCAAGAGCTGAAGGCAGGGCTTCCCTGGTGGCGCAGTGCTTGAGAGTCCGCCTGCCGATGCAGGAGACGCGGGTTCGTGCCCCGTTGCGGGAGGATCCCACGTGCCGCGGAGCGGCTGGGCCCGTGAGCCATGGCCGCTGGGCCTGCGCGTCCGGAGCCTGTGCTCCGCAAATGGGAGAGGCCACGACAGGGAGGCCCGCATAACGCAAGAAAAAAAAAAAAAAAAAAAAAAAAAAAAAAAAAAAAAAAAAAAAAAAAAAAAAAAAAAAAAAAAAAAAAAAAAAAAAAAAAAAAAGAGCTGAAGGCAAAGAACTGTCAACCTGAGCTCTGTGTTTTTTGAAAGTAGCCTTCAGGAATATTGAGGAAATCAATACATTCTCAGGTGAAAAATATGTCACCAGCAGACCTACCCTGAATAAAGGAATTTTTCTACCTCTGTCATGTGCCTGCAACCTCCTGTTCATCTATAATTGTACAAACTTTCTTTTAAAAACAAGGAATGAATATAAACTACTTGAGAACATTGAGAAAAATAGTTTGTGCTTATAATTTGTATAAAAAGTGAACATGGATGTGGTGAGACTGTAAAGTGCTTGAAACACATTAGTAGAGTTCTGACTTCATGGAGGGTAGAGAGATGAGAATTGTAAGTTCTGAATACTGAAGTGTTCAGGAACAAACATCTGGTGGCTACATGAAGGATGGTGATTGGGAAAAAATTGCACGCATAATGTAATTGTCTTGCGATCTGGTGATGTGCCAGCAGTGATAAAAGATGAAAGAATTAAAGAGTGAATCCTGGAGAAATTTTGCATGTTTACAAACATTGAACTTTTTGGAACCAGCTGCTGTTGTGATGGCAATGCCAAGGGAGAAAACAGTCAATATCCAAGTATCCCTGAACAAGCTGCCTTCAGTTTTTCCTCATCAGTAAAACCCGTGTCCTCTTTTATTATATACGTATTATAAACCTTGGTTTCGTAGTCTACTAATGTCATAGTCCAGCCCTAGGGAATAAGTATAATTAAAAGGACATCTCCTAATTTAAAGTCCTTTTGAAATTCCAGGTCTGTCATTTAAAATAAAAATCCACTTAAAACAATATTCTGAGGTTTACTTTCTGGATAGTAATATCTTGGAGTTAATTTACTCTTGAAGTTAAGAAATGTTTTATGTGAATTAATTTCCTTGAGTCACAGATAATGGAATTTTTAGTGAATTGACAGATAGTCATACTGAGACAGCCACTGTAGTAATTATGCAGTTTAGCTACACTTACGTTTGGTTAGTTAGAAAGATGATACCAATAAATTGTAGCTATGGCTTCAATTACCATATATGGATTAGTTTTTAACATTGTTCCATGGCTGTAGCTTATCCCTCAAAATATTTGGAAGTGCATAGTGCTGTTCATATGGGTTGCTGGGAAAAGCAAAACTATTGGAATCAGCAGAAATTCAGAACCTTTTCTAGGTAGTTCAGTGATGTCATCCTTATATAGGATGCATAGAATTACTTTATAAGCCTCCAATATATTGATCTAATAACATAATTTCATATTTCCAGATCAGTACTTGTTGGAAAGTAGTATGCTTTGCAAAGTCTGCAGTTAGTCTGGTGACTCTTAAGTTTCAAATCATATTGTGTTTTAGCGGCTTCAAAGATGTGTATTTTGTCTTCACTAACGTATGTTTAGCTGTCTGATGGCTAAACCTGATTTCAGGCATTGGATTCAAATAACTGTTCAGCAGTGTGCTGTGACTTTTCCCATTAACTCAGCCACTTTGCTTAAATCCATAATTTGTAACAAACATATGGTTGTGCTAAAATGAGAATAATTATAGTTGAGTTTTAAATGGACATTTCCACTTAAAATTTTTATATAATCTTTGTTACTAATGTATATCTCACACCTTATTAGGAATGATTGTATCTAAATTTCATCGACACATTCTTTCTGAAAAATTATAATCTCAAGAGACAGCATTAGATGACTTATAAACAAACATGTAGATGTTGAAAGCTCTCACCTAAGGGCCATTATTTACATATAAGTTCATAGAAAAAAAATTTTGAAAGATTTCTCTAAGAGTGGGAGAATTTGTGCCTATGTATGTGAAGATAGAACCAATCTAAATAACTATAAGTTTAAATAATCTACAATACTCGTGTCCTTTCTGATCCTCGACTATTGCATTTTCATACTTTTAAATATTCATTTCAACTTGAAATCAGAATATGAATAGAGTTCCATGAATAAAAACTTTCATTTTTATCTTGAGATATAGCTCAAGCTATATCATGAGATGTAGCTTGTTAGACCTATAGTTGTTGGAAAGCATATGTTATTCTTCTTTGACTTTACATTTTTGATATGTTGAACACTAATTTTCCTTCATGAATTATATCTTTAAAATGCACTTGGATGTGAAAAAGGGTGCATTCAGTTAATACAGGTCATAGTCAGAATCCTGAATATAACTAGGGCACAATTTTAAAAGGTGACTAAAACTTACTTTCTGTAAGTATAAGCATATCAGTTACCCTCCAGATATATTTCTTTCCAGCAAAAATAATTCTAGATTGCATATTAATTATAATCCACCTGGTTATATCCATTTGGGAAGTAATATATGTAAATACTGTGGCATTATTTATATACTATTACATTGACAGGCATCTTTTTCAACTTTTCTTTAAATTAATAAACTTAGAGCAGTTTTAGATTCACAGCAAAGTTGAGTGGAAAGTACGGAAAGTTCCCACATACGTTCTATCCTTACATATGTACAACCCCTCCCCCCACTATCAACGTCTCACGCCAGAGGGGTACAGTTGCTACAACTGATGAACCTACACTGACATATCATTATCATCAGGAGTCCAAAGTTTACATTAGGGTTCACTCTTGATGTTTCACATTCTATGAATTTTGACAAATGTCATAGTAATGACACGTATCCACCATTGTAGCATCTTACAAAAGAGTTTCACTGCCGTAAAACTTCTGTGCTCTGCCTGTTCATCCTTCCCTCTCCCCAACGCCTGACAAGCCTACTTTTGATCTGCTTGCCTTGAACAGATACCGTCTGTTGCAAAGTACATAAAACACATAATATGTTCTGCTTTTGAAAGGGATGTGAGCTATGCATTGATTCTGGTCTTGAAGCTCACGTGATTTTTTTTCTGCATGTGTGAATGATGATGGTAAGATATTATAGCCTAGTTTGTGATTTTTTTCTGAATTGAAATCATTTAGCAAATTCTGAAGTAATGCTTAGAGGATCTGAAGATAACAGATGATTATTTTCCAGTTTTATATTGAATAGGTTCTCAGTGAAGCTATTAAAATTTAGTTTACATTGGAAACATTGTTATGAATATTAAAATGATGTTTTGAATTGACCCCCCTTAAGAGCATAACTGTGAAGAAGCTCTGATGACTTTAACATCCTAATTATTCTCTTGTTTATTACAGCTTTAGTAGAATTACTTGAAGAATTTGTCCTTCATCTCTCTGAAAACCCATCTGAATGCTACTTCCCCTCAGTGGAATATACAGGTACAGTTTAAACATTTTTGTATTTTGGAAAGTGCTCAATGTGCAAATAGATAATGTTTCATAGAGGAGTGTAATTAGACACAAATATGCACAAGGTTTTTTCACCCTAAAAAATCTCTCCCTTTGTGCCATATACATTCCAGATATCTTTCAGTTTCTTCTGTGCAAATGTCTGGGTTTCCTTGTAACTTTCTAGCTTCGTTTTTGAGCTCTTTTTTTTTCTGTCTACCCATTAAAAATTGTTTTTCCTTAAGGCAGTATCTTCCAATGTCTTTCACTCTTCTGTTTTTATCCACTAGGAGATGATCGCCTAGTGATCTCATCTGCTTGTACTGTTCTGCCCACCTTATATATTGATGACTTCTAAATATACCTCTTCTACTCAAAGATCTATAAGCTTCATTCTCATATTTCCAGATGCTTAATCGCTAAACATCACCTGGATGTGCTAAAGAACCCTCAAGCTCAAAATGTCCACCTTCTCATACCTCACTGAGAAACATCCTCCTCCTACACTGTCTGTTTTGGTGGGCAGTGCCATCATCTGTCCATCTAAGCCAGGGAATCCTGGTACCCAAGGCCTCACGTTACTCTTCTCCTTTCTTCTCTAGCATCACCCCTTTCTCTCCACGCCTCATATTTGTTTTTCAGGGGCACTAAACTATTAGCAGCATTGCCAGCCTCACCCTCTCTTCTCCAAATACACATTCATTTATTCAACAAATGGATATTTTCCTCTGCTGTATAATAGAACTGCTGTAAGCACTTGGACACATCAGTGGACAAAAGAGAAAAAAGTCTTGCCTTTACAGAGTTTACCTTCTGATTGGAAGACAGACAATAAGTAAAAAGATTCAGTATGTCACGTGGTATGGTGGTAAGTGAGAAATGCAGAGCAGGGAAGGGGTCTAGGGAGTGCTAGTTGGGGGTGGCGGTTCCATTGTTAAATAGTGTTCAGACCAGCAGAAATTGGGAGCAAGATACATGGATGTTTCCAGAGGGAGAGACTTCCAGCAAGTGACTAGGAAGGAGATTAGTACAGCTCAGAAGGAGTAAGGGGGAAGGACTGTTGCTGTTGAAGTTAGAGAGGAGAGGATGATATAGGTTTTTTGTTTTTTCTTTTTTTTTTTTTTTCTTTTGGCCACACCGTGTGGCTTGTGGGATCTTAGCTCCCCGACCAGGGATTGAACCTGTGCCCTCGGCAATGAAAGCACGGACTCTTTAACTACTGGACTGCTGGGGAACTCCCTGATCTAGGGTTTTTAAAGTCATTGCAAGGTCTTGAACACAGGAGTGACATGCTCTGATTTACATTTTTAAAAGATCACTATTGCTGCTGTATCAGGAAAAGACTGAAGGACAAAGGGCTAAAGCAGGGAGATGAGTTAGGAGGCTGTTGAAAAGATGAAATGGTAGTTGCTTGGATGAGGATGTCAGTGGAGTTAGAAGTACTTGGATTCTAGGTATATTTTGAAAATAGGACCAACAGAATTGGGTAACAGACTGAATATGGGGTGGGAGAGAAAGGAGTCAAAAGACCCAAGTTATGGATCTGACCCACTGGAAGGATGGGATTACCAAACACTGAGATGGCGGAGAATGGGTAAAGAATAGGTTTCAGAGAGGAGATTAGGAGCTTGCTTTTATGTTATGTTTCCAATACTTATTGCACATTTAAGTAGACATGCTCTGTACATGCTGGCTGTTTGAATCTGGAACTTAGGGAGAAGGTAGGTCTGAAAATACAAATTACTAAATCATCAGCTTAGTATATAAAGCCAATACACACCTCTTTGTCATGTTTTTCTCATATTCTGACTTAATGTCTAATTCCTCATGTGACAGCACACTCCTGTAAGGTAGTTTCCTTGTCTTACCTGTCATATCCTCTGCACCTAGAGTAACAGTGCCAATAAATGTTTGACAAATAAAGGGAAAAAATGGGGCTTCCCTGGTGATACAGTGGTTGAGAGTCTGCCTGCCGATGCAGGGAACACGGGTTCGTGCCCCGGTCCGGGAAGATCCCACATGCCGTGGAGCGGCTGGGCCCGTGAGCCATGGCCGCTGAGCCTGCGCGTCCGGAGCCTGTGCTCCGCAACGGGAGAGGCCACAACAGTGAGAGGCCCGCGTACCGCAAAAAAAAAAAAGAGTAGATGTTTGATAACCGTGATGTTTACTTTGTTCTTCCCTATCTCTGCAGATCTCAAGGCTACCCATATTTTAAGGTTCAGTTTAAATGCCACTTCTTCCCGATCTCTTCCTCCTATGAATTCATGTAATTCTTTATCTGTACCACTCTTGTTCCACTTTGTGCTTTAAAACATCTTTGTCAGAGTTATCTATATGCACATTTTATCTCTGACACTACAGGCAAAGTTCTTTAGGGCATGATGTATGATTTATCTTTTATCCCTCATAGATTCTAGCGTGGTGCTCCACACTTTATAAGAAAGGAGGTATTAAAAGTAATGAATAAATTCATGAGTTAAGTAGGTATATTGTTAATAATATGAGATGTACCAGTGTGTAATGGGAAAAAACTGCTGATACAGAATTCAGAAAACCTAGCTTTTGCCCCTCCCTATCACTAGATAACTCTGTGATTTTGGACAGTTTCCTTATTTGTGTGTGTGTGTATCCACACACACACTGTGCACATGCTATAGTTTCTTCAGGCAAAAATTGAAAGTTTCAGCTAGATCCCCCTTGTTATCTAGTGATGCTTTTGAGTGTTTATGCTTAATTTGGTCATCCAGTGTTGTCAAACAGTAATCCAAACTTTCAGCCTCTCCTGTAGTCCTCTGTACTGTACAACCCCTTCACTTTTGGTAGATGATCACACTTCATACCTCACAGAGAAAATCTGCCTGCGGGAAGAAACTTGTTCAGTCCACCCTCGTACATTGCTGTACATTATATGTAGAATAATATCAATTATTCCTTCCTGACACTCACGTGTAAATCTTTAAGAAGTAAACAGACATACTTATCTATATTTGTAATTCAAAATCTTATATATGCATTGCTTGATGAAAGTACAGTATTCTAGACCATTTTTGTGTTAACAGCTTTTGTGTCCTGAAAACCAAGTAAAAGTAGATTGCTTTAAAACTACGATTATTTGTTTTGTACTTAATATACTTTTAAATGCTTTTTTTAAGAGAAAAGTTATTTTGTAAAAAGTTTCCTGTTAATTCCTTTGAAAAATGTAACTGACAGCTCTTAAAAGAACAGGATTCATCAGTGTGTTTTCAAAATTTACATTAAAATATGTAAAAATATTGCTTTCATCAATTTTCAATTAAAATGTGATTATTATGCAGAGTTTTATAATTTTTATAACCCAGTGTTCTGTTGTTTATAGCTACTGATGCAAATGTGAAGAATGAAAGTCTTTCATCTGTGCAACAGCTTGGCGTTAAAATGACTGTCAGGTATATTATAGGGAAATATCTCCCTGTGCATTTCTAGAATTTGTTTTGTCTAGCTGATGTGTGCTTAATAGTATTTAATTTAACAGTCAACTGTTTTGTATGCTTTAAATGCAGAGTTTGTCATTCAGAAAATAATAACTTTGTTTTGAGGATATTGGCATATGATTGAATTACCCTTGCAGGTAAATCAGTTACAGTTCATTACTGCTTCATAGCCTAACTACAATGTATTTAAGTCTCTATGACTGTCGGGTTTTTTTCCAAAAATAACATTTTAAAAATCAGCACATTGGTAGCACAATCATACCATTTTCTAAAATATGTTTAGTTTTTACTGTCAGGATATAGTTATGAGTACAAAAGTACCTTAATGTAGATGCAGAAGTTAAAATGAATAAACCAATTATAGTAGTTTGAATTTTTTTGTACTGAAATTATAATTTTCAAAAGAAATGGACAAGCAGAACAGACTGGGAGTTAAGGTCTGAGTCCTTGAACTCCTCTTTTTCTTGATTATTACATGGGAATCTTGATAGTCCCATTCTGTCTACTTCATTGGGTCATCTTCAGAATCAAGTGTAAAAAAGATGCATGTGAAAGCTTTTAAAAAAGACTGGGGCTTCCCTGGTGGCACAGTGGTTAAGAATCTGCCTGCCAATTCAGGGGACATGGGTTGAAGCCCTGGTCCAGGAAGATCCCACATGCCACGGAGCAACTAAGCCCGTGTGCCACAACTACTGAAGCCCATGCACCTAGAGCCCGTGCTCCACAAGAGAAGCCACCGCAATGAGAAGCCCACGCACCTCAAGGAAGAGTGCTCCCGCTCACCACAACTCAGAAAGCCCATGTGCAGCAACGAAGAGTCAACACAGCAAAAAATATATATATAATAATAATAACAATAAAAATGAAAAAGACTGTGTAAATCCATAGCATTATAACAAAAACTATGATAGTAATTCTAGCTCACCCACCTATATCACATAGGGTATATAACCCATTGATTATGTTTTGTGACCCTGTACCCGCCTTTTATATTGTAATAACCTATTTCCATTCTGAAATGGAAACCATAGATAATATGAGCAGTCTAGTCACATATATTTTTTTAATTCAACGTAATGTCTTACTGTTAAGAGATAAAGTGATTTATAATGAAACGTTCGTATACTACTGCGGTGCCAGTAGTGAAACAATAGCTGGCACCCATTTAGAATCATTGTAGGTGTGGCAGCTACGAATAGACTGATTTTATTTTGGTGTGTCAAATATTACAAGAGGGTTGCCACTGGTGAAGTGACTTTGCAAAATGGTGAACAAGTCTTAGTAAGGCTTCAAGCAAAGCAGAAGAACTACCTTTCCCTAACTTACACATGGTTTCATTCAGTGTATAATAAAATATATGACTAATATTTTATGATTTTATATGAAACAGAATTAGTTTCAGATAATTATAAATAGATTTTTCATCTATGCAAATGACAGGCAGGACATTTACAAGTTGTTACTGTGCAGGACTGACTGTCCCATGTCTAACCTCCTGGCCCTTACTTAGCAACTATCAGTAGTCCCCAGTCACTATGACAATCAAAAGGCACTCCTGTAAATTTCCAAACTAGCCCCTGGGGGAGGTGCCACCCTCATATAGAACCATTGGGCTATATGAACTCTAAAATTGCTTCTAAACTTAACATTATGTCTACCTAGCCTATGAACATTACATGTTTTAGAGTAAGTTCAGGAAAAAAATGCTTATATTCTACTGCTCATCTATAGTATCCATGTTTTGTTCTTTCACTACCATTTCATTTTCCTTTAAAGTTGTTGTATTTACCAGATGAATACTGCTAATTCCAGTAGATCGTAATTATCAGGTACATATATTGAGTGTTATTCTTTCATAAGTGCTCTGTATAACTAGTTACGCTAAAAGTAGAAATTTGAAAACTTAAAACCATGAGATCTCAAGAGAACTACACTTTGATGAATGTTAAAAAGTGAATTTACAATGCAGGGCCTGACATTTTTTCATTATGTTTTCTGGGCTTTTACAGGTATGGCAAGTTCCTCAACCTGTTAAGAGATGGTGCAGAAAATGATCTTACCTTGGTTTTAAAGCATTGTGAGAGATTCCTGAAACAGCAGCAAGCTTCTGTAAAATCTTCTCTTCATATCCTTTTCGAATAATTGACAGTACTTGAACTCTCTTCATATGTTTTTCAGAATTCTTTGATGGGGTACTTTAATACATTAATAGGAAAATAATACTTTAACCTATATTAGTGATTTGTTACGATATACCTTTATGGTATTTTATTCTATATTTTAAATATGTACTTTATTAGACTGAGTAGTAATTATTAAATTTTATTAGTTGAATCTTAAATGAATAAGTAAAGTTATTAGAATGTATTTTCAGTTATATATAAGGAAGTTTTAAAAATAGCTTTAGTAAATCAGAATAATACTCTAGATTTAGTAAATCTAGAATAAAAATAAAACATGCATTTATTTTATTTGAATTGGTTATCTTTCAGAAATAGGGTTTGACTTTAAGAAAAAAGTGTATACAGATCTTTTGCATTACTGAATTCTCAACATGTGTGGATTTTTTTTTTATACTTGATTATGCTAATAATTTGGCAGATAACCTAAACTAGAGAAAGGATGGTACTATTGTGTTAGTGACTTGAACAGTGTGTTTCCACGGAACAGATAGATTTTCCTCCAGTTGCTGGTGCTGTTGGCCTCCACTGGGCGTGTCAGCGCACATGTTACATTAAAATAGTTACTGTGCAAGTGATTTATTAATAAAGTTTGATTTTATATCAATAGCTTATAAATTGGTTGAAGACAAAATGAGGACTAACTATCCTTAATATCTCTTTCCTGAGATTCTGGAAATTAATATTTATAGAGTTCTTATATCTCACCATGTTAAGATAAACTATTATAAAAGTTCCTTAACTGTGCTTTTCAGTCTGCTTGCAGGGGAGTTACACTGGCCATGACTGGTTTGTATCTTCTTTGTTCATAATAATGTTGGGGGACAAAGACAAAACATTCCGATTTCTTCAGCAGTTCTCCAGGCTTCTGACTTCCGCTTTCCTTTGGTTGCCAAGACTACATATTTCTGTAAGACTTTTTAGTCTATTTTTAAAGGAGTATTTTAAATTTTAAGGAAAATCCTATTTAAATTCATTAGGATCTTATTTTATTTGTAGAGTGTGCTATGTCCTCAATATTCGTTTTCTATCTGAATGCAATTTTGAGTGATTCCTTTTGAGGATATAGATTTGACATTTTCTCGAATACTTGCTGTCTTACCTAATGGTAACTGAATGAAAGATTAGTGATAATAGGTGCATTATTGAATTTAAACTTGTCATTTAGTAAATTATAAAATTCCGTATATAAAAAGAAAACTATTGAATGGATATTTTTATTCTTGCTTTGTTAGAAAGAATCTCTGTTTAAATTATAGTATGAGAAAATAATAAGTTGGAATTGTATCCATACTGTATGGATAAGCACACTAACTTTATATACATTTTGGAAATCTATGATGAGTTTTGATTAAGGTAGTATAGTGTATTTTTAAAGATTTTACTAGTTCCATGAGATCCAAGTTTAAAGGTAAGTGCATCCCTCAGTTTATTAAAGTTTCTGTATTTTGTTTTACTTATGTACTTACTGCATTTAAGACATCCAACTTGGGGAAACTGTCCATTAAAATAAGCCATGCTAATGCTTCCCAAACCTTTTTCTTGACATGTTATCCTTGGACAACAGAATTACACGGCACCCAAGGATAAGTTGTTAAGGGGGCTAGAGAGTATCTATGTCAAGTTAAATGAAAGCATTTATGACATGCTTTTGCAATATGTATTTGTGATAAAGAAAAGAAAGCACCAAGGAATACATTAAATATTGAAATTTTATGATTTTATGCTTGAAATAGCTGTATGTAATTCCTGAATAATACTTCACCATAATGAGAAATAATTTGCTCACATGAACAGCAGGAAGCAAAAGGCAAAAAGTTATGTACTAGCTTTTCTCCAATCAATGGAACTGTTTTCCTTCTGTTAACCAGAGTTTGAACAATTCTTTAAATTGTACGTGAAGATTTAAAATATCTTAAAGGTCTTTCACTCTTTCATTTACAAATGTAATGTTGAAAATTCTTTGATAATAAGTATGGATTTTAAGTCTACCACACATTTTCATGTCAAGTATTTTAAAATGATACCTACATGCCACTAGTCTTAAGTATTCTACTTTAGTGTTCAGAGTGTGACACAGTCAGGCATCACCAATGAACTGTTTTTAACCATAATTTTGTAAAGTTGAATTTCTGCTTTGACGCTATAAACCTAGTTTTCCACACATTATTTTATATTTAATACAACAAGAGTGATGTGCTCCACTAGCATTTCTTCCTATAAAACTGAAATCAGGCAGGACTCTAGCAGCTTTGAGTTGATCAGATTTACCATTTTGATAGCATCAATTTAATATGGAATATAGATCCGTGAATGGAATGGAGTGGCTTACTATTCAGGGGTTTTAGAATGAGCTCTTGATGTAAAACCTTGACACCTTTCTGTTGGTGCATCTGTATCATCAGTGAAGACTCATGCAGTGCCTTCTGTAGTATCATTTTTTTTCCTTTTCAAGTACACATATACCAAGTTGAATGTTTTATTACCAGTAGTTTGTTTTACTGTTTCTTTGTAAAACAAATAACATTCTGCTAAACATTCCTCTTCAAGGATTCTATCTAGAACTGTTAGCCAAGTGCGGTTACTAATGTCCGTATAGTCAGTACTCCATAGTTTAAATGTTTTTGATTTAGTAATCTTTTGGATTGGTGTTTTTGCTGTGCCCCTTTCCTTGCTAGTGCATGCAGTAATAGACTTTAATATATTACTTTAAAAGTTCTATTATGCTTGTTCCATTGGTCTCAGATATTACACTGACACTTTCTATGCAGGTTGACAACATAAGCAAATCTGCAGTTGCCACAAGACATGTTAAAGACACTTTAGCTTTAGGCATTAACAGCACAGACTTGTCCACCATCCTTAGCACAATACCACATTTTTGTAATCAACCTCATAAAAGCTTCAACCTGTTCCCCCAGTCCCCCATTCCCCTACCTCATTACCCTGTTCTATTTTTTTCCTTTTGTTCCATAGCCTACATCAATTCCCACTATGCTTCTTAATTTATGTATTTGTTTATTATTTATACACTTAAACATAAGCTCTCTGAGGGCAGGGTTTTGTTCGTTGACATGTCCCAAACTGTGTCCCATCATAATTTTTCAGTAAATGTGCTGAATATATGAATTAATATTTAAATAGAAATTTGTAAAGGACAATAGGCTTTTTAATTACTTTAGGAAATGTATTTAAGAGAGCTCCTCTACATTCGTAAAAGTGTTGTAAGCAAATTGCATCAAAAAGATTAAAAAATTTGGCCTAGGATAAACAGTATAGGACATAATGAAATATTAATTTGAAGTTCTCAAAATTTTATAAACTATTACTATTATTGTGAGATAAAAATAATTTGAAAAATGTGTCCTTAAGCTGTTTAGACCAGAAGAAGTCTTTAATGTATTGATTTAATTAAATTATCTTCCAATTTTATTTGTCCTCAAGAAAATCCTTCCTAAATGATAAAATAATCATTTTTTATGGAACTTCATCAAGAATCAGTTTGACTAATTGTTAACATTAAAGCTGTTAATAAATATAGATTAAGAAAAATCAAGAAATCAGTTATTTCCATGGAGGAATACCTAATCTCAAACAATAATTATAATAAAAGTTACAGTTATATATGCCTTCTCTGTTAGTAGAAACATATGAAATAGAACAAATTAAATTGAAATAAAAACTGAAGTATTTTAATGCACATAAAACCAAAACTCCATTGATGATAAACCAGGCTGAAGTGGCATTTGAGTGAAGTTCTGTAGTTCAACAGGAAGGTATCATGGAACACTTACTTTATATACATTATATTATTTATATAGATAAAATAAGAGCATGTGCGAATATCTATATCTTCCTCTTCATAAAATAAAGTAATAACTACCGAAAGCAGGAAGTTTGGAGTTAAAAATTCTAATAGCATTGAAATATTCATTTGATTTAAATTTTACAACCATTATGTAGTGGCACATTTGTAATCCATTTGCAGGGCATTAGCAATGGTAAGTCATGTAACCAGTCACTTGCTTGGAAAGAGGACAGGGGTCAAAACCCCTTCCCTTTCTTACATGCGACTTTAAATCTTAGTCATATTTGAAGATTCCATTTTCCTATGTGTTTTTTTTTTCCCTGAGAGGAGAAAGATTTGTTTTTTAGAATTATAGAATCAAAGTTTAAAAAGATATCTCCAGAGTTTTCTGTTCACCCCTCTGCACGATGTGCATGATGCACATGCTGCACAGAGTCACTGCAGCACTGCCAATGAAACACGGCCTGTTCTCTTCCTACAGAACCCTAGAGTGGAGGACTGGACTGGATTGGATTGGATCAGTTTGGATTGGTTTGGAGAGTTTGTCTTTTCTAATAGGGTCTATTTAATTTCCATAGATTTTTCTTATTGTCAGGAATAAAATGACTCATCAGAACTACCTCTAGTGGAAGAAAAAAACTAAGACTGCTTACTGTGTTTCATTTCTTTAAGCACATATCTTTCATTTTTAATCATTAAAGCCAAATACTCTAAGAAGTGGCATAACATGAACATTTTGGTACTGATAATTTTTTACTGATAATTTTTTGCATGATACTGGCCTAGTGTATATGTTACTTAGGTGATCTATTAAACGCTGTGATCCTATATGTGGTCTGCTTAATCCTATATTCTGAATTTTATTTAGAGTTACCTTTTATTAAGCGTTACCATCCTTTCCAAGAGTTATGACTAACCAAAATATATCAAAACACTAAAAGTATAACAAACATAATTTATAATTTGATGATTCAGGAGATTCCTTGTTATATTCATGTGACTCAGAGCTGTCATTATTGATTTGGTTTTATGAATACCATTTCCTGTAAATTAGAGTTATGAAATAAAAATAGGCCAACTAACAAAACTTTTATTATAAGAAAGTTTCCTGTGATTACAGTGTGCAATCATTAGTATGTTGTTGTCATTCAGTCAGTTTGTTGAGTAGCTACTCTATGCAGGGCTTGGCGCTGGGAGCTGTGTTGGTTACCAAAATTTATGGCATAATTTCTTCCAACAGAGTATAATTCATAAGAGTAGAAGAATTCTTGCCTTATCTTTGGGAATCCATTATATAATAATGTTTTATTTTCTTTGAGAAGGTAATTAATTAGTCTATTATCTCCATCTCTATACAAAGCTATTCTAAATATGTTGGTTTTAATGCAAATTAGAGAACACTGTGTAAGAAATATTTCCAATATATACAATTCTTACACTATTATATATATATATATTCAGAAAATTATTAGCTAAGTTTGCATTGAAAATTAAAGTATTACATATGTATAAGTTGATTTATTTTGCTTTTACATATATTTATTAGATTCATTAATCCTACTCTACAAATAGTAATTAGTGAAACATTGTGTATACAACAAAAGATAAATCAAAGGGTACTAATTCTCATTCAGTTCATATTATTATTAACTACTTAATAAAAGTAATTTTCTTTGCACATCCATCTGAAGTTGACTACAAGATGTTCATTTAATATGCTATGTATGTCTTCAGTCGTGAGTATATAATATTAACTTTTTTGTGTACTGTGAGATATCTCCCTAAGAACCTATCATAAAATATATATTTGTACCTATATGTTCCCACAAATATATATTTCTACAATGTGAAATGGTAAACCGTTTATCATAATGATAAAACACAAAAACTACTGATAAATCAACTCACTGATTTCAGAAATTTTCATATATTACTCAAACCTAAATCCTTAAAAATGGTTTAGCAGTATAAAGTTTGAAAAAAAATCCTCCTTATTTTAACTCTTATGTAATTGTCAAATATGAGTTTGATTTTTGATTGTAAAGTATTAACTTTCTTTCATTAAAAAAGTTTGAGTTGCCCAGTAAAGGTAAAAAACGTTAAAAGGACTCTCTAGAAGTCAGATCTAATTTGAGTATCAATGTTTATTATAAGTCTGTAGGATATAATTGCTAGTCTAATAGTTTTTCTTGACACACAATTACATCTTCAGGTTTATTCTTTGTTTAAAAATTGTTGTGGTTAGATGTTGGGTTTAAAGTAGTACTCATTAAAACATTGAGCATTCATGATAAATTGTACCCAAGAACTAAACTGAAAAAATAACCGACTTTATGAAGAAATGCCTGAAAAATGCAATGCAGTTTGTAAATGTATGTGTATATGTATCTATACATATATATTATATATACATAGACATATAAATAAATATAAAAATATATGAAATACATTTATTTATTTTTTTTTTTTCCGGTAAGTGGGCCTCTCACTGTTGTGACCTCTCCCGTTGCGGAGCACAGGCTCCAGACGCGCAGGCCCAGCGGCCATGGCTCACGGGCCCAGCCGCTTCGCGGCATGCGGGATCCTCCCGGACCGGGGCACGAACCCGTGTCCCCTGCATCGGCAGGCGGACTCCCAACCACTGCGCCACCAGGGAAGCCCCTGAAATAAATTTTATATATTTGTAAATAGATAGCCTGAGTACTTTTATGGGAATGCATCACAGTTTTAGATACGAATTTCTTATGGATTTCCCAATTTCACTTACTAGTAACTAGAGCTTAGATTTGGGTTATTTAACATTAACTTAGAAAAAGTGGATTAGGCAAATACCAAGAGCTGACAGACTAAATAAACCTTTTTGATGTTTTAGAGTCATTGACTAAATCCAAGGATATATAAGCATATTGAAATATACTTAGTTTTAAAATGTATTTATTACTCATGTTCTCATCCATGTATTTATTCTTTCATGCAACATCCATCTCTATTATTCCATAAGGGATTCAATTTGTCACAATTACAAAGTGTTAATTTTATTCCTTTATCTTGGAAGGAAGGTATATCATACTGCCTTTATTGAGTTTTAATCTTTATATAGTGTTTAATGTTCTAGCTTTTTAACTTACATAAAATTTGCAGTAGCTTGTTGTGCCAACCATGGTAATTTTGAAGTAGCAGTTTAGAGCAAAAGATTTAGATGAATTTGATTGGTTTTAAATTAGCTGCATATTCATTAATTCTCAATTTCTCTCTTTTATGCAGAGGTACCTACCTATTGACACTATAGAATCTGGCATTCATCCAGTATATTTTTGCAGCACTCACTATATTGAAATGCTACTGAAAGCAGAGGTGCCACTTGTATTTTCAGCTTTTCACATGTCTGGTTTTGCACCATCACAGGTAATCCATAGGATATAGTATTTCTTCAACTCCAAGATCTCAGTGTATTTAAAGAAAATTACATTCTCATCAAATATAGGAAATACATTGAAATTAATCACATCATTTTTGTAAGTAGTCATACATCTCTATGTGTTTAAATCTTTCAACTGGCTTTTTTCCCCTAGGTCTTTTATAACATATAGGTTTGCTTTATTGTAGATCCCTGGCATTCACAGATGTTGAGTTCTGTTTCAGCTATTCAAGACATAGACATTCTGAAAGACTATGACATGTAGCTTTTTTTTCCCCAACCTCTTTATTGGAGTATAATTGCTTTACAATGGTGTGTTAGTTTCTGCTATATAACAAAGTGAATGAGCTATACATATACATATATCCCCATATCCCCTCCCTTTGCACTTCCCTCTCACCCACCCTATCCCACCCCTCTAGATGGTCACAAAGCACTGAGTTGATCTCCCTGTGCTATGTTGCTGCTTCCCACTAGCTATCTTGCATTTGGTAGTGTATATATGTCCATGCCACTCTCTCCCTCCGTCCCAGCTTACCCTTCCCCCTCTACAAGTCCTCAAGTCCTTTCTCTATGCCTGCATCTTTATTCCTGCCCTGCCCCTAGGTTCTTCAGAACCTTTTTTTTTTTTAATTCCACATATATGTGTTAGCATACGGTATTTGTTTTTCTCTGTCTGACTTACTTCACTCTGTAGGACAGACTCTAGGTCCATCCACCTCACTACAAATAACTCAGTTTCGTTTCGCTTAGTAATATTCTGTTGTATATATGTACCACATCTTTATCCATTCATCTGTTGATGGACACTTAGGTTGCTTCCATGTCCTAGCTATATAGATAATGCTGCAATGAACATTGTGGTACATAACTCTTTTTGAATTATGGTTTTCTCAGGTAATATGCCCAGTAGTGGGATTCCTGGGTCGTATGGTAGTTCTATTTTTAGTTTTTGAAGGAACCTCTATACTGTTCTCCATAGTGGCTGTATCAGTTTACATTCCCACCAACAGTGCAAGAGGGTTCCCTTTTCTCCACACCCTGTCCAGCATTTATTGTTTGTAGACTCCTTTGATCATGGCCATTCTGACCGGTGTGAGGTGATACCTCATTGTAGTTTTATTTGCATTTCTCTAATGATTAGTGATGTTGAGTATCCTTTCATGTGCTTGTTGGCAATCTGTATATCTTCTTTGGAGAAATGTCTATTTAGGTCTTCTGCCCATTTTTGGATTGGGTTGTTTGTTTTTTTGATATTGAGCTGCATGAACTGCTTGTATATTTTGGAGATTAATCCTTTCTCAGTTGCTTCATTTGCAAATATTTTCTCCCATTCTGAGGCTTGTCTTTTCGTCTTGTTTATGGTTTCCTTTGCTGTGCAAAAGCTTTTAAGTTTCATTAGGTCCCATTTCTTTATGTTTGTTTTTATTTCCCTTTCTCTAGGAGGTGGGTCAAAAAGGATCTTGCTGTGATTTATGTCATAGAGTATTTTGCCTATGTTTTCCTCTAAGAATTTTAGAGTGTCTGGCCTTACATTGAGGTCTTTAATCCATTTTGAGTTTATTTTTGTGTATGGTGCTAGGGAGTGTTCTAATGTCATTCTTTTACATGTAGTTGTCCAGTTTTCCCAGCACCACTTATTGAAGAGGCTGTCTTTTCTCCACTGTATATTCTTGCCTTCTTTATCAAAGATAAGGTGTCCATACTGTGCATGGGTTTATATCTAGGCTTTCTATCCTGTAACATTGATCTATCTTTCTGATTTTGTGCCAGTACCATACTGTCTTGATTACTGTAGCTTTGTAGTATAGTCTGAAGCCTGGGAACCTGATTCCTCCGACTGTTTTTCTTTCTCAAGATTGATTTGGGTATTTGGGGTCTTTTGTGTATTCCATACAAATTATGAAATTTTTTGTTCTAGTTCTGTGGAAAATGTCATTGGTAGTTTGATAGGGATTGCATTGAATCTGTAGATTTCTTTGGGTAAGTATACTCATTTTCACAATGTTGATTCTTCCAATATAAGAATGTGGTGTATCTCTCCATCTGTTTGTCTCATCTTTAATGTCTTTCATCAGTGTCTTATAGTTTTCTGCATACAGGTCTTTTGTCTCCTTAGGTAGGTTTATTCCTAGGTATTTTATTCTTTTTTTTGCACTGGTAAATGGGAGTGTTTCCTTAATTTCTCTTTCAAATTTTTCGTCGTCAGTGTATAGGAATGCAAGAGTGTTCTGTGCATTAATTTCGTATCCTGCTACTTTACCAGATTCATTGATTAGCTCTAGTAGTTTTCTGGTAACATCTTTAGGATTCTCTGTGTATAGTATCAGTGTCATCTGCAGACAGTGACAGTTTTACTTCTTTGTCTCTGATCTGGATTTCTTTTATTTCTTTTTCTTCTCTGATGGCTGTGGCTAGAACTTCCAAAACTATGTTGAGTGATAGTGGTGAGAGTGAGCAACCTTATCTTGTTCCTGATCTTAGTGGAAATGGTTTCAGTTTTTCACCATTGAGAACAATGTTGGCTGTGGGTTTGTCATATATGGCCTTTATTATGTTGAGGTAAGTTGCCTCTATGCCTACTTTCTGGAGGGTTTTTATCATAAATGGGTGTTGAATTTTGTCAAAAGCTTTTTCTGCGTCTATTGAGATTATCCTATGGTTTTTCTCCTTCAGTTTGTTAATGTGGTATATCACATTGATTGATTTGCATATACTGAAGAATCCTTGCATCTGTGGGATAAACCACACTTGATCAAGGTGTATCCTTTTAATGTGCTATTGGATTCTGTTTGCTAGTATGTTGTTAAGGATTTTTGCATGTTTGTTCATCAGTGATATTGGCCTGTAGTTTTCTTTCTTTGTGACAACTTTGTCTGGTTTTGGTATCAGGGTGATGGTGGCTTCGCAGAATGAGTTTGGGAGTGTTCCTCCCTCTGCTGTATTTTGGAAGAGTTTGAGAAGGATAGGTGTTAGCTCTTCTCTAAATGTTTGATAGAATTCGCCTGTGAAGCCATCTGGTGGTGAGCTTTTGTTTGTTGGGAGCTTTTTAATCACTGTTTCAATTTCAGTGCTTGTGATTGGTCTGTTCATATTTTCTATTTCTTCCTGGTTCAGTCTCGGAAGATTGTGCTCTTCTAAGAATTTGTCTGTTTCTTCCAGGTTGTCTATTTTATTTTCATATAGTTCCTTTTAGTAATGTATCATAATTCTTTGTATTTCTGCAGTGTCAGTTGTTACTTCTCCTTTTTCATTTCTAATTCTATTGATTTGAGTTTTCTCCCTTTTTTTCTTGATGCATCTGGCTAATGGTTTATCCATTTTGTTATCTTCTCAAAGAACTAGCTTTTAGTTTTATTGATCTTTGCTATTGTTTCCTTCATTTCTTTTTCATTTATTTTAATCTGATCTTTATGATTTCTTTCCTTCTGCTAACTTTGGGGTTTTTTTTCTTCTTTCTCTGTTTGCTTTAGGTGTAAGGTTAGGTTGTTGATTGGTTATCTTTCTTGTTTCTTGAGGTAGGATTGTGTTGCTATAAACTGCCCTCTTAGAACTGCTTTTGCTGCATCCCATAGGTTTTGGGGTCATTGTGTTTTCATTGTCATTTGTTTCTAGGTATTTTTGGATTTACTTTTTGATTTCTTCAGTGACCTCTTGGTTATTTAGTATGTATTATTTAGCCTCCATGTGTTTGTATTTGTTACAAATTTTTTTCTGTAATTGATATCTAGTCTCATAGCATGGTCGGAATAGATACTTGATACGATTTCAATTTTCTTAAATTTACCAAAGCTTGATTTGTGACCCAAGATATTATCTTTCCTGGAGAATATTCTGTGAGCACTTGAGAAGAAAGTTTATTCTGTTGTATTTTTGGTGGAATGTCCTATAAATACCAATTAAGTCCATCTTGTTTAATGTGTCATTTAAAGCTTATGTTTCCTTATCTGTTTTCATTTTGGATGGTCTGTCCATTGGTGAAAGTGGAGTTTTAAAGTCCCCTAATATGATTGTGTTACTGTCAATTTCCCCTTTTATGGCTGTTACCATTTGCCTTATGTATTAAGGTGCTTCTGTGTTGGGTACATAAATATTTACAATTGTTATTATGTTCTTCTTGGACTGATCCCTTGATCATTACGTAGTGTTCTTCTTTGTTTCTTGTAATAGTCTTTATTTTAAAGTCTGTTTTGTCTGATATGAGAATTGCTACTCCAGCTTTCTTTTGATTTCCATTTGCATTTTTAATGGCGATGATAATATCTCCTTCATAAGGCTTCTGTAAGGATTAAGTAGGGTAACTAAGGGCAAGAATTCTCATTACCACTGCGTATCTGGTATGTGAGATACTGTATCTTATCTAACAATAAGCGTTCTTGTCTCTGCTTTTGGGGTACTGGGAAGGTTTAATGATTTTTTGAGGGCCTGGAATTGGAAATGTCATATGCATTAGCCACAGATGTCTCTCTCCTGTGCACAGTTAGTCCTTCATTGGTGGAGTGTGGATTGTTTCTTCACTGTGTTATCAGGCTCAAATTTAATATTTTAGAAATTAAACCTTTTTTCTAATTTTAGGATCTTTAGGTCAGAGTCCCAGAAGGTAGAAGTACTTAATCAAAAAGATATGAACACTTTTGAGGCTCTTGATGCATATTATCAAATTGCTTTGATTTTTGTTCTAAGAAAAATGAAGAGACTGTCTATCCTTCAGGACCGCGTATTTGGCTTTTTTAAAACTAATTGCTAAATTTTTAAAATTTGGGAGGTTTGGAGAGTTTTTTAAACATTAATAAGGTTGATTATAATTCTATAGCTTTGTTAACTAGATGTATCTTTTTATTAATTGCCCGCCTGTCTTAGTGTTTCCTATTAACTTGTAAATAGTCTTTAAAAGTAACTACCACTATCCAAATCTCTTCAATTCTTGAGTAATAAATATTTTACGTATTTACTTTTGTAATATATTGGCCATTTACTTATTTACTAT